CCCTGGGATCGCACATTTGTTCCATACATTCCCTGTCTCTCATCACCGATCTGCCGATCACCCTCCTTTCCCATCGCGGTTCGACACGCTCGGTGGCACTCTCCTAATTGCAGGTTCGGTGCTACCCCAAAAAACCCTGGGTCGCAGCCCTAAGATTGCACACCACCTCTCAAAGCCTAGCGTACTGCTGTTTATACCTGCAGCTAGACACTCGATGCCGACTTCGATGGACGCCCACGGCGCGCCATCCATTCGCATCAATCCTGTACTTTGGTGACACTGCACCACACTGCACATGCAGCCTCGGACACAGCCAGGCAGCAGCACTTTGGCGACAATGCGCCACGTGTTCAGAGGAGTTCTGACGCAGCTTCTGCGTCAGCAATCTGCCCACGCAAGAAAACCGAATGCACAAGTCTACATCGGTCCTTACTTACTCCTCACCCCTCTTGCGGACCTGTGCTTCTGGCCAACCTGCAACTCTACAGGCCAGCCATCCGGCAACCTACTCTGGAGGTCAGCCCATCAGCGCGCGGACAGCTAACATTGACTATAAGGGTTCGTGCTAAACCCGAGAACAACGGTATTAAAAAACACGTGGGTCCTGGTACCGAGGTGGTTCGGGGTAAACCCAAACAACCCTGGGCTGCAACCCAATAACTGCCACATTCTGTCTTTGCGTGCAGCATCTATCTTTAATACTAGGGCAGCAAGCCAAGCGGCACACTGGGAATTGTGACGGTGGTGGAGGTGGGCTGGGAATGGGCTCACTATGGTTTGGGCTCAGCCATCAAAACCCTGGGCAACCACCCAAGAACTGCACCGCGGAGGCACTGTTCATTTGCCTACCTTTTTACTCCTGTGGCCAGCCTCTTCCGACAGGCCAGCCTGAGCATCCAAATACCGGCAGCAACCTTCTCGCGACCTTTAATTGCAGCACACCCAATACTATTCTTGGGGGACGGGATGTCGCTTATCTAACGAGGACGTCTATTGGTGGTGGCGGAGTGCACTTACTTACGGTTTGGGGTCAACCAACACCCTGGGCAGCAACCCTAGAACTGCACAGTCAAAGTAGTGCATATGCATCATCGTTCCATGTTTTACCTTCGCGCGGATCGCAGCATGTACATTAGGAAGGATGGCATTCACTACGTTGTCTTGACTTTTATTTCTTCGAGCTTCTCCACTAAGGTACAAGCTGCGTTACCTGGCGAACGCCTACTATTCTACCTATGCTTTCTCGTTGTCTCATCTTACTGCCTTCGCAACAGCGCCCGCCAGGTACCCTTTGCGCCGAGCCGATTCCACTTCTTTTGTTGCTGCACTCCATAATCGCAACAGGCTCGCACCTAATGTTGGTCGAACGTAGAAAGAAGGAGGAGGAGGATCGAGAAGGAGGAGGAGGAGGAGCAGGAGCAGGAGACGCAGCAGGAGGAGGAGGAGGAGGAAGAGGAGAAGGAGGAGGAAAAGGGAGAAAAAGAGATGAGGAGAAGGAGGAGGAGGAGGAGGAGGAGACGGAGGAGGAGGAGACGGATGATGCTGATAATGATGCTGATGATGCTGATGATGAGGAGGAGGAAGAGGAGGTGGAGGAGGAGGAGGGGGAGGAGAAGGAGGAGGAACAGCATAATGAGGAGGAGAACGAACGGGAGGAGAAGGGAGGAGGAGGAGAAAGAGGAGAGGATGATGATGCCTGCTGATGATGACGATGATGATGAGACGATGATGATGCTGATGATGATTGATGCTGATGATGATGATGATGAGGAGAAGGAGGAGGAGGAGGGGGAGGAGGAGGAGGAGGAGGAGGAGGAGGAGAAACATCATAATGAGGAGAAGGAGGAGGAGGTGGAGGAGCAGGAGGAGGGGAGAAGAAGGGATGAGGAGAAGGATGAGGAGGAGGATGAGGAGGAGGAGGAGGATCGAGTGAGGAGAGGAGGAGGAGAGGAGGAGGAGAAGAGGAGAAACGGGGAGGGAGAAGGAGGAGGAGGAGGAGGGAGGAAGGAGGAGGAGAGGAGGAGGCGAAGGCGGAGGAGGTGAGGACGATCAGGGAGGAGAAGGGGGGAGGAGGGGGAGGAGGAGGAGGAGGAGGAGGAGAGGAGGAGGAGGAGGAGGAGGAGGAGGAGGAGGAGGAGGAGGAGGAGGGGACCGAGGAGGACCGAGGAGGAGGAGGAGGAGGAGGAGGAGGAGGAGGAGGAGGAGGAGGAGGAGGAGAAGGAGAAGGAGGAGGAGAATCGAGAAGGAACGCCCTCGGGGCGGCGGCCGCGAGGGCCGGCGCACGCCTCTGGCACCGCCCGGGCGACGCCCCTCAGCTGCAGGGACGAAGTGGCGGCCACGTACCCCAGCAGTGCGGCGCTCAGGGCCTTCGCCGCCAAGAGCAACCCCAGGCAGGCTCGCGTCGTGACAGCGCAGCACGCTCAGATGTATACTAACGACGCGCCAGCTCTTCGCAGTCTGCCTCTTCTCCTCATTTTTTTTTTCTCTCTCTCTCTCTCTCGCCCTTGCACGTCCCTGGCAATCTACCCGAATCGCACAACGGTCTTCAATGGTGGGCCATGACAATAAGAGGTCGCACGCATCTGCTGCGCAACGAGGCCGAACACTCCAGGCAGGCTCGCGTCGTGACAAAAATCATGACGGAACGTTTTTGACAATTTTCAGCCTCCGAGGGGGCCCTCGGTTGGCCCCGAGAGCGTCAAAGAACGACTCGGGATGGGAAGCCATCGTGCGTATTCCCTGAGCGTTCTCGCATGTTCGGGCTTCCGCCCGCCCAGGACGGCCAAAGAGGCCCCCATGATCGCCCCAAGGCGGCCTAGGATGCCCCCAAGAGGCCCCCAGACGGCCCCAGAGGGCACCATATGACGGCCCAAGATTCCCCCGAGCCATCGAGGGCCGAGGGCGGGACGTTTTCGGCCGTTCTTGGCCCAGTCGGGCCTCCGGAGGCCTCTTGGGGACCTCCGAGTGGGTCAGGATCCGGGGCGGCAGCAATACTTACCAGATGGCACTTCTCCTAGGCCTGCTCCTCCCTCCTCGCCCTCGTCGCCCTCCTCGTCCCCTCCGCTCCTTGTCCGCATCCTTGTACTCGTCCTCGTCCTCAATTTCTTCCTCCTCGTCCTCCTCGTACTCTCACCTCCTCCCTTCTACTCCTTGTCCTAGTCCTGCTGCTCATCTTTCTCCTCCTCCTCTTTCTCCTCCTCCTCTTTCTCCTCCTCCTCCTCCTCGATCTCCTCATTCCCCTTCCTTCACGTCCTCGTTCTCGTCCTGGTCCTAATCCCCCTCGTCCTCCTCGTTGCCCCTCTCCTCGCCCTCCTCGTCTTCAGCGCTTTCTTTCGACGCATTGTCCTCGTCCCTGCTCCTCCTCCTCCTCCTCCTGCTCCTGGTCCTGCTCCTGCTCCTGCTCCTCCTCCTTCTCCTCCGCACCTACTTCGGCGGCGCGGCACCTCGCAGGAGGAGTCGAGGTCGAGTCCCATTTGGCTCTCACGCGAAGGCCTCGTACAATTCGAACAATCAAGCCCTGGATCTCTGACAGCTGAGCGGGTGGAGAGTGGTCGCTGACTCCTTGTTATTCAAATTCGTGCTCCTGGCCGTGAATTCCGCATGCGCCCTGGCACTAAAGCCTCTGAAATAAACAGACATGGAGACATCCTCCTGGATGTTTTTCCCCATCTCCTAAGATGGGGTTCTTGTTACTACTTGGACGCCTCCTACTGCCTCTCCCTCCTCCTCTTTCCTCCTCCCCTCCTCATACTCAGACTTGCTCATACTCAGACTTACTCATACTCAGACCTACTCGTACTCAGACTTACTCACATTCAGACATACTCATACACAGACTTACTCATACACAGACTCACTCACACCCAGACGTACTCATACACAGACTTACTCATACCAGACTTACTCATACACAGTATTACTCATACTCAGACTTACTCATACCCAGACGTACACATACACAGACTTTCTCATACACAGACCTACTCATACCCAGACTTACTCATACACAGACTTACCCATACACAGACTTACTCATACTCTGGCATACTCATACTCAGACATACGCATACTCAGACTTACTCAACACACATCAGATTTGGAGGATGTCTCAAGCGGGGCGCTGGTTTCAGCACCCCTAAGGGGAGCCGCCAGGGGTGGTTGCACGGGCTCGTTCGCGGCCATTTTGTGGGGATGTCTCAGGCGGTTTGCTTGTTTCTGGGCTCAACATCCTTCGCTTGGAGAGCAGATTGTGAGGATGTCTCAGGCGGGGCGCTGGTTTCAGCACCCCTAAGGGGAGCCGCCAGGGGTGGTTGCACGGGCTCGTTCGCGGCCATTTTGTGGGGATGTCTCAGGCGGTTTGCTTGTTTCTGGGCTCAACATCCTTCGCTTGGAGAGCAGATTGTGAGGATGTCTCAGGCGGGGCGCTGGTTTCAGCACCCCTAAGGGGAGCCGCCAGGGGTGGTTGCACGGGCTCGTTCGCGGCCATTTTGTGGGGATGTCTCAGGCGGTTTGCTTGTTTCTGGGCTCAACATCCTTCGCTTGGAGAGCAGATTGTGAGGATGTCTCAGGCGGGGCGCTGGTTTCAGCACCCCTAAGGGGAGCCGCCAGGGGTGGTTGCACGGGCTCGTTCGCGGCCATTTTGTGGGGATGTCTCAGGCGGTTTGCTTGTTTCTGGGCTCAACATCCTTCGCTTGGAGAGCAGATTGTGAGGATGTCTCAGGCGGGGCGCTGGTTTCAGCACCCCTAAGGGGAGCCGCCAGGGGTGGTTGCACGGGCTCGTTCGCGGCCATTTTGTGGGGATGTCTCAGGCGGTTTGCTTGTTTCTGGGCTCAACATCCTTCGCTTGGAGAGCAGATTGTGAGGATGTCTCAGGCGGGGCGCTGGTTTCAGCACCCCTAAGGGGAGCCGCCAGGGGTGGTTGCACGGGCTCGTTCGCGGCCATTTTGTGGGGATGTCGCAGGCGGTTTGCTTGTTCCTGGGCTCAACATCCTCCGCTTGGAGAGCAGATTGTGAGGATGTCTCAGGCGGGGCGCTGGTTTCAGCAACCCTAAGGGGCATATGCACATATGGGAAGCTCCAAAGCTACCACGGGCTGACAAGGGGAAGGCCTGGCAGCTGAGGAGGGGGGATGAAGAGGAAGAGGCTCGCATTCAACCGTACTCAAAGCTCACTCTGACTCATACGCAATCACTCGCATTAGGGGTCACTCGTCTTCGTTGGCCCTGTCGCCCACGTGGACGTGCTATTGTAGTCGACCGCTCATGAACAGATGCTCACCACGGCATGACATAAAACATGAGATGCACATATGGGGAGCTCCACGCAGTGAGTAATTCAACCCGCTGCCCCAGAAGTCTCCGACCGCTTCTCCGGGGCAGTTCTTGCGCAAGGGATCCAATTTCGGCTCCAGTGGGAGAACAAGAAAGACAACACGAAGCGTTCGAAACAATCACTCCGCTGCAGGTCTGGGCACGCGGACTTGGGGGGGGGGGGGGGGCAGCTCGTCTTCAGAACCGTGATGGCACTTCGGCGCCGCGCGCGCGTCCTTTCCAGCCTATGCCGAGAACGGTGCCGACGCGGACGGGCGATCCCCTGCCGGGGCCAACTCGATCCGCGCAATTGCACGGCCGACGTCCTTGCCTGACCGGCTGCGCAAGTTTCGAAACACGGAGGCGTGCGCAAAAGGATCGACTGAAATGGCGTAGGTTGGTCCTGGCTCGTCTCCTTCAGGAGTGCGTTGCGTCTGTGGACGCGCTGTGCTCACTCGCCTTGGTGCTTCCGCAAGAGGGGGCTGCGGTGTTTGTCTTTGTCGTCGCCATCGCGGACCTGTCCATGCAGCTCCAGGCAGGGGACAGCAGCCCTCTCAGCGGGCTTTCGTCGTGGTGGGCGTCTTAGAAAGGACATGTGAGCTGACTTGTGCGGGTAGGGCTCCGGGCGGGAGGGTGCTCCACTCTTTGTTCTGCCTCCTCCTCCTCCTCCTTCTTCCCCGCTTTTTCCTTATCCCCTTCTTCCCAACCCCCCTCCGTCACACCCTCCGCTCCCCCAGCATCTCTTGTCTCTCTCTCTCTCTATATATGCTTTTCTTTATTTATTTATTTATTTCTCTCTCTCTCTCTCTCTCTCCCTCTCTCTCTCTCTCCATCTCTCTCTTTCTCCCTCCCTCTCTCTCTCTCTTAAAGCAAGAGGGCGGGCGGGGAGGATGAGGAGGAGGTGGAGGAGGAGAAGGAGAAGGAAGAGGCGGAGGAGGAGGAAGAGGAGGAGGAGGAGGAGGAGAAAGAAGACGACGAAGGGGCCGGCAAAGAGGAAAAACCGGAAGCGGACAAGTAGGATAATGATACATCAAAGGAGGACGAGGAGGTCAAGGAGGAAGAGGATGAGAAGGACAAGAAAGAGGAGGAGGAGGAGGAGGAGGAGAAGGAGGAAGTGGGTTGGGTGTGAGGAGGAAGGTAGGAGGGGAACGGAGGCCGAGGAGGAGGAGGAGGCGGAGGCAGGAAGAGGAGGAGAATAATAAGGAGGAGGAGGATGATGAGAAGGATGATGATGAGGAGGAGGAAGAGGAGGAGGAGGAGGGTCCAGGCCATGGTGAGGCACTGATGCGCGTCCTGATCAGGTCCCGAGGTCGCGGGGACTTACTGCTGCTGGTGCTGTTCCCTCCTGGGGCCCAGGGGGGAAGAGCAGCAGCCGGGAGTAGAGAGAAGAAGCAGGAGGATGACAGCGCACGACGACGACGTTGACGACGACATCGAATAGGGCGGCGGCGAATGACACGACGGCAAAAAAGCGGACGACGACGCTGCTCTCCGGAGGCCTTCCGAGGCTTCCAGAATTCCTGCGGACGTCCGCGCGGAGGCCATCTGGAACCCCCAAAAGAGGAGACACACGTCCAAATGCCTCGGTGCTCGCATTCCGATCCAAGACCACGAGCGGCGGCGGCGAAAACCCCTGACATGTAACGAATATGCAGGCATGCGTGGGTATACGTTCCATATACATACACATTGCTTGTTGCACATGTGCGTTACACATAAGTATAGAAACTATGTGCATGTATGTGCGTGTGTGTAATTATCTATGTTCGTATCTGCATACAAATCATTACTCACCATTCGCGGGTCTCGATCCCTCCTTGGCGGGGATTTCAATCTCGACTCCTGCCTGGCAAGGAAACTTCCCACATCGGAAATACATTCGAAGACCCGGGGGGCCCGAGAGCGGCCCCAGGACGACGAAAGTCAGGAAGAACGTCGATCATCTGTCGTCCATCTCGGCCCCCAGACGTCGAAATTTAGGAACAACGCCAGCCTTGAGCCAAAATCGATCCGCCTGATGTCTGCGGCGGAGACGGCAGCGACGCCACGGAGAAAATCATGGGGCGGCGATGGCGACGACGCTGGCGGCGACGACACCGCCAACCTTGGCCTGCAAGAAGCCGACGAAATTCGCTCCTGGCTCCCACCGCAATCCCGCCAGCCAGGCGTCCGGGCCGACGCTGATGGCCGCCTCGGCGGCAGGAGCTGGAGGAGGGGGAGGAGGAGCATCCAGGATCGAGGTTCGAAGGCAGTTTTGTATTATTCTGGGGCTCCCAAGGGCCTCTCGTCGTCGCCGCTGGATCCGCCTCGAAATCTTGGTCAGCACGCTCTCCAGGACAGCTCCGGGGGGCCGATGCCTGAGACGAGGAGGAGGAGGATGAGGAGGAGGAGAAGGAGGAGGAGGAGAAGGAGGAGGAGGAGGAGAAGGGGAGGATGAGGAGGGCGAGGACCAGAGTAGATCCAGGATGCATCAACGCTGCTGGAAGACACCTTCCCGTGCCAAGTATCTTCCTCGCAGTCTGTCGCGGTGTTCCTCTTTCACCACAGGAAGCGCAACCTTGAAAGACGAGCGCCCCATGCGCCTGCCATGGAAGCGAGGGGCCCATTTTGAAAAGGAACCGCCTTCTATCTTTCTGGGTTTCAGAATCGTCTCGGGATGACACCACCCGCCGACCCTTGTCCCCCTCCCCGTTGCCTCCCCCAGGTGTCCCAAATCCCGTTGGGGGGTATGGGAGGGGGTCGGGGGGGGGTGCTCGAACTCCCAGCGCGCCTTCGGGGCCCTTGGCGCCTCGAAATCAAGCCTCCATGGCCGCCAAGATGCCCAAGATATTTTCTAAGATGGCTCAAAAGGGCTCCAACGCCCTCTGGAAGTCTCAAGATCACTCAAGATAGCCTCAAGATGGCCCGATGGTGGGGCAACCTCTAGCATATCGATTAGCACACTTATGTAATTCATTGATTCCTGGAGGGTATGAAGAGAATCGTCGCGAACCTGCCCGGAGTCGGCAGCAAACCTGCAGGAATCCTCACTAAGAAGTCCTTCGGGGTCCCTAGTTTTCAGGAATAGTGAGGGATCCTCTGGGGTCCTAGGAAATCCGACGGATCTGTCAAGAATCCCAGCAGCCTCAGGAATCTCTCTGGAATCTTCAAAGATCCTTTCGAAAATAACAGAAATCTGCAGGACTTCCCGGGAATCCTCCAGCAATCCTTCGGAATCCGATCGTGAAACGCAATCGATAACAAATCCAATCTTGGGGGGGGCAACGAATTCTCAATAATACTCGGGAACCTTTGAAACACCAGCAGGCGCCCTCGCGAATCTTTCAGGAATCCTGAAGGAGTCTTCGGTGATCCATCAGGAATCGGCAAGTGTTCTCAGGAACCCTTCAGCGAACATTCCACCTTCCTCAAGAATCTTCGGGGGCCCACATCAGGAACCCTGCGGAAACCATGGGGATCCTCGGTAGTCCTCCAGGGATCAGCAAGACTCCTTGAAGAATCTTCGAACATCCAAAAAACGAATCTGGCAGGAATCCTCAGCCATCCGTCAAGTATCCTGCAATAATCTTTAGGAACCCTTCAGAAATCGGCGAAGAGTCCTCAGGAACCCTTCAAGGATCATTCCGGGCCCCTCAAGAACCTGCCAGAGTCTGCAACAAGAATCCTCAAGACTCCTGAGGGGTCCTCACGAATCCTCCAAAATCTGCCGGGCATCCTTCAATAACTTTCAGGTATCCACCATGAATCCGCCAGGGATCCTTGAAGCCCCATTTAAGAACATTCAGGAACCCACGCGCACCCCCAATATCTCTCGAATATCCTTCAACAATCTTCGGGGAATGCATCGGGAACCCGCAATAATCCGCATGAGTCCTCCCATGATCATTCTGGAATCCTCGGAGCAAGACGACTGCGCAAGTCCCTCTTTCTCTAGTCTGCTTCCCTCCCTGGGCTAACCAGCGGTATGCCGCTCGCTGGGCGACCTACTTCCCCACTTAGCTGTGGAGGGAGAAGGAGGAAGAGGAGGAGGAGGAGGAGGAGGAGGAGGAGGAGGAGCAGGAGGAGGAGGAGGAGGAGGAGGAGGAGGAGGAGGAGGAGGAGGAGGAGGAGAGGGAGGAGGCGGATGGGCGCTTTTGCACTGCGGGCGTGAACGTATCACTTGCAATATTAACCTTGAGCGCTTTATTCGATACTCGTTCGCAATCGCGATTTACATCTGGGCTCTGTCCTAGCACGGCGCACGGTACTAAGAACAACGCGCGCGGAATCGACAGTGCCGTCGATTTCCCTTGCGGCCCCGGAAACTCTTCAGGACTCCTGCAGAATCCTCAAGGATCTTCATTGATTTCTGGGCTTGTTAACTCACTGTTCCTGGAGGGTTCTGAGGTGTCCTTGATAATTCTTAAAACTCCTGAAAGAACAATTGAAAGATCTTTGGGGGCTGCCTGGAAGATAGATACTTCGAGATTTCGCAGGTCCCGGCGGATTTCGGATGGTTTCTGAAAGCTCCCCGCGCTGCCCGAAGGATTCCTGAAGAGAAGCTCTGACACTTCTGGAACGAACTATGCGAATTCTATGAATATTCCCGGAGATTCCTGCCAGGTCGCCGCAAGTTTCCTGCGGATTCCAAAAGATCCGTTTGGACTCCGGGGGTTTCGTGGGGATCCCAGAGGTGTCATGAAGGTCTGGCCGACTTTGGTTCAGGCCGCTCTAGGTTAGCTAGGCTGTTCGAAGTTGTCTCGGGTTCGGCCGTCTTGGATTCTCTTTGGCCGTCTCGGGTTGGGCTCTTGGGCCCCCCAGATGCTTTCATAATTTTTTGCCGCGTGCAGTCGGGTAGCGAGGGGCGCGCTGCCTGTGGCACGAGTCGCGCAGCAACCAGGGCATCTTCCTGGCCACAAATGTCCCCCCCCCACATCCTCCTCCCCAAGGAATTTGGAACCCTGTAGGCTTCTCCATATTCCTGGGGGGTCCCGAAGGTTCTCGGGGATTCCTGAAGGATTTCGAAAAAGGATTCCTGAAGATACTTGAAGGACTCGTGCCGACTCCAACAAGGTTCGTGGATATCCCTGGCTGATCCATTCCGGATTTCTGAGGAGTCCTCAGGGTTCGTAACGACTCCTTGGGTTTCGTGTGGATCCAAGAGGTACCCTTTGGATTCTTACGGGCTCCTGAGGCTCACCGCAGGGAGCGTGATGAGGTTGGCTCCTTCCAACCTGAATTTTCTCTGCGGCCTTTAAAAACTCCCCAATCGTAGGAATATCGCCCTCTCCCCCCCCGCACCGACCGCGATATCTAACACCCGTTTCCGATATTCCTCGGGGCAGCGGTGTCGGGGGAGCGGAGGGGTTTGAGGCGGCGTGCGTGTGTGATTTACCACCGAATGAGGCATCCTGATGCTTCGGCCTCTTTTGTTGAAAGCAAAATTGAAGCGCTCGCTGGGTTAGCTTATTGCTGACGCTAGTTATGTACTGATCTGAGGGCACCGAATCCAAATGGTGGCATTCACTCGGGCGCGCGGCATGACATTGCGTACTGTTGCATCCTATAAGGTGGCGCGTTGTGACACAATGCGTTGTTGTTGTTCTTATTGCGCGCGCGTGCGCAACACAACAATCCATCGTGAATGGCCAACTTAGCTTGGAAAACTGAACGGTGAACACAAGCTGTTTCACGTATGTTCTGAGAACACCATCCTGGCATAGTATATTGTGGCACGAACCGCGATGCTCATTGCGCGCACTCTCGCGCGCGCAATGTACAAATCAATGGGGAATGGCCATTTAGTCTCTTGACAGAGTCAATCTGACATGTGTAGTGTGTCATGATGAATTTCGTTATTGTTCACGCGTACGCGCGCGCACGCGCGTCCCGCGCATTGCAAGAATCAGTAGGGAATGGCGAGCGCACCTTTAAAAGTTGAAGGGTGCCGAACTAATTGTGTCACTCGTATTCTGGCGGCCTCTAAACGACCTGCGCGCGTACGCGCGCCCCCGGGTGCGCAAACCAAGAACAAAGTAACTATTCAATCCTGATATTGAAAATTGAATGGCGGAAATCACTTCGTTCACTCTTATTCAGAGCGCCCAGCGTGACATAATGTTTCGTGACACCACGCACGTTCCTTACAGCTCGCGCGCGTGGCCATCGTAACTTCGAAAAGTGAATGGTGACAACCAGCTGTTTCACTAACACTGTGAGGGTCCCACCATGGATTCGTATATTATGGCACAATGTCATGTACGACATGCGGTCTCCTCATTGCTCGCACGCAGCCGTACAAACAAATCACGAATGACCGTTTCAAGTTCGAAAGCCAATCGCCACACTCGTATTTTGAAGGCCCCCGCATGACATAATTCATTGTGGCGATCTGCTTAGTCCTTACTGCTACGCGCGCGTATGCGCCCGTGCTCACGCGCGCGAGCAATGAGGAAACCGCACTGCGTAGCAATACGTTATTACATGTTGAAGCCCTCTGAATAGGAGAGGATTTTCTGGATTTCACCCTTCAATTTCCGAACTTTGGTAGGTCATTCTTAAATCATGTTTGTATTGCGCACGCGGGGGCGCGCGCACACGCGCGTAGCGCCAAATTGCAATGCATGATTCCGCGCCGGGCCCTCTGAATACGAGGGAAAGAATTGGCTGTCACCGCCCATTTGTTGGAACCCGAATGATTATTCGACTTTGCTCTTGTGTTGCGCACGTGGGCGCGAGCAATGTGGAAACCGCGTCGTGCCACAATCCAATCTTACATGTTGAGGCCCTCTGAATACGAGTGGAGCTATTGGGTGTCACCATTCAGCTCTCGAAATTGAGAGGGCCATTCTTGATTGGTTCCTTACTGCGCGCGCGGGAATGCGCGCGCCCTTTCAAACTTTCAGCGCGGCTGCGCGCGACGCTCGGGCGAGAACCACATTCTGAAAAGTGCCCGCCCGCCATCCGTTGAGCTGTTGCAAACTTCCAATCGAATGCACGCGGCGCCAGAGCCAGAACCACGTTTTGGAAAGGACCCGCCCTCCATCCGCGAAGCTATTGCAGAGCTCTGAGATGAATGTGCGCGACGCAAATGCGAGAACCGCATTCTGACAAGGACCCGCCCTCAATCCGTGCAGCTGTGGCAACTTTGTAAAACGAATGTGCGCGGCGCTACAGCGAGAACCACATTTCGAAAAATACTCCCGCCCCCCC